AAAAAACAAAAACACATGGAACGCATGCCCTAGCAACTGCAGCAGCATCAAGGGCGAAAACCTATTCCCATTTTTCCCTACCAAGCCCCCCAGAAAAAAACGCGCAAGGCGCAAAGGACGCCACCATATTTTTTTGAAGAGCCTGCTGTTGAAAAAAAAAAAAAAACACATGCAACGCATGCCCTAGCAACTGCAGCAACAGCAACCCCAACCAGTTAGCTAGTTATTGTTGCCCTTCGCCTTCGCCAGGTCTACCTGGAGTTGCATCATCCTGATTTGGCGATCACGATCTCCCTTTTGCTCTGCCCATGCAGCCGCCCTCTCCACTTCACGCTCTTGTCTGTCGTGTTTCCTTTCATCTTCCCGCATTGCCCTCTCGTGGGCCATCATGTCCAGGAGCTCTTGCCTCCTCCCTACTTCTCGTTTAGCTTCCGCCGCCCGCCTCCTCTCGTCCTCTTCACGTTTCTGATCGGCAAGTGCCCGAGCGTCAGCCACCTGTCGCTCTATGAAGCTGGGACACGTGGCACAACGACGCAAGAGAGGAACCAGGGTAGGGTAAGCTCTGGCACCTCCCTGATGGAGTAGCTAACAATAATGCTGCGATGACACTTCTCTGGTACAGGTTACGTCCACCAAAATAATCTAACAATAATGCACAGCGTCTACCACACGAAGGAGTTGCGAGAATCAAGACATGGGCAGAGTCGACGAACAGTTTTACCTGTCTAGCCCATCCTCGGCGAGCTTATTGGTCTTGGCACGGGGCTTCCTTCCACGGTTTCCCGAAGGCCCACTCGCCGCCCCTGAAGGGTCCATGCCTGACATGGCGCGCGCATCCCCCACTGTTGCAGAACCGGGGATGGATGTCTGACCGGCGGCGGACAGCCCGGAGTTCGTCACGCCGGCGCCAAGCACCAACAACCTCGCCACCCGCTTCGTAACCTGAAGCACCTTGTCCGGCGTAACACGTTCTATGGGCCATCCGCTGTGAAACCTATTCGATTCCGGCAGGCTGCGGAAGTCCATCGTTTCCATTCCGTAGAGCTCGAGCAGTTTAAACATGACCGACTCGTCAAACCTATCAANAACATGACCGACTCGTCAAACCCATCAAACCCGGGCAGCTCACAATCCTCTTCACCAAGACGATCCATGTACTGCTGGACGCTGTCTCCGTCGCGCTGGATACAAAGCCTTGCGTCGAGTAGTACCACCATCATGGCCACGGCCCTTTCCGGCTGAACTTCGTCGGGCGTGAAGCCCGTGTTGAGGAAGTAGTCCGCCTCCTCCGTGGTGACCCCGGCACTTTGCGCAAGCGTCGAAATGCTCAGCGACCCCATGTGCTTCGCCAATTCGCCAGGCAGTGGAACCTTCCTCGATGGCCCGCTCCCCGCGGGCGATAAGTCGTCGTCNGTCGTGAAGCCCGTGTCGAGGAAGTAATCCGCCTCCTCCGTGGTGACCCCGGCACTTTGCGCAAGCGTCGAAATGCNTCCGCCTCCTCCGTGGTGACCCCGGCACTTTCCGCAAGCATCGGAATGGTCAGCGACCCCATGTGCTTCACCAAGTCGCCAAGCGGTGGAACCTTCCTCGATGGCCCGCTCCCCGCGGGCGAGAAGTCGTCGTCTAGCCCGCCCGTACTCATGGTCGGGCTCGATCGACCGCTGGCAGCGCCACCCGCCGAAGCCTCCGACGCGGGCCTCGCCCCCCCGATGCTGCTGGCCGGACTCACCCGACCGCTGGCACGGCCACCGGCCGCTGCACCGGAGCGGTAACCCAACGCGTTGTTGTCGGCGGCAACAGCTTCTTCGAATGATGTAGCCTTTGCGCCCGGCCCGCATCGGGCGTTGCCCTGGTTGATGGCCCNCTGCACCGGAGCGGGAACCCAACGCGATGTTGTCGGCGGCAACAGCTTCTTGGAATGATGTAGCCTTCGCGCCCGGCCCGCATCGGGCGTTGCCCTGGTTGATGGCCCACATCCCCATCGCGGAGTGCGAGGCCGCCTGGTCGGCTTTCTTCTGCTTGGTCTCCTCCGAGTCATGCCTCGCGGCAGCCTTCGCGTCCACTATCGCGGTCAGAACTTTGTCCTGTGCGGCACATCGCGGGCAAGAAGCAACAGCGGCGCGGCAGCTCGTCAGCTCTACGACGTACAAATTGCATCACTAGCGTCGGCGATAGCTATATGCATCGTCTGTTTTGTACTTCCGTGTCAACACTGCTACGTCACGCCCCGAAACAATACAAGGTGGGAGTGAAAACCTCGACGCTGTTTTGATTTTGTGGGTGAAGGACCGTCTCAGCAAGCTAACTCTCTGCACGTTTTGCGTCGCCTGGCGTGTAGCACTCGGGCTTTCGTGCTGTCTATCTACTTCTGCCTTTCTTTTGTCATGCTGCGCATTTTAAGTTGGACTTACGGCTAACCCTGTGCGTACCCCTTTTATCTGCAAGTGTAACGTTGGTGACGCCGGCAGGCATTTTCTTCGGTCGGGACAGCGCAGGTGTTTCACGATAGTCTATGGATTGTGGATTCTCCATGTGCAGATATTCGTGCCCGTCTTGTTTGGACTGTGCCATGATCGTGTACACTCAGTCACAAAAGGTAGAGATAGCTCACTGGCTCTGGACCCTCGCCAGCTGGACCTTGGTATTCTTCTCTACTTCGTCCTCCGAGCCACTCTCAGCAGTGCCGGCTCCGGAGTCCCGCAGGGCTTTACCATCGCTCTTGCTCTGGTTGTCAACGATCTTGTAATAGCGCGATGTCTCTTCTTTTTGGGCCCATGCGTCCACCTCCTTCTTAAACACTTGGTCAAAAGCTTCATTCTCCGAGGGCACTCCAAGTCTCTTGTAGTGTCCTGCTAGAACTTCCCTTTTTCCCTTCCCACTGCTGACTAATCCACC